AGCACAATCCCGTCACCGGAAAATCGTGGCTCCAGCAGCAAGGGACCAAAGGGTTTATCGGGCGTGGTCTACTCATGGCCAACGGCGAGGCTTGGCACCACCAGCGCCACCTGGCGGCTCCAGCTTTCACACGTGATAGGCTCAAAGGATACGCAAAGCATATGGTGGAGTGCACAAAGATGATGGCGGAGAAGCTGAGAAAGGAAGTTAAGGACAGAGGAGGAGATGGTACAGAAGTGGAGGTGGGAGAGGAGATGCGGCGGCTCACGGCGGATATAATATCGAGGACAGAGTTCGGAAGCAGCTACGACAAAGGAAAGGAGCTTTTCAGTTTACTTACTGTCCTTCAACGTCTCTGTGCTCAGGCCACTCGCCACCTCTGTTTTCCGGGCAGCCGGTGAGTTTTTTTTTTTTTTTTTTTTTTACAAATTTCTTCTTCTTCTTCTTCTTCTTTCGCCTTTAGGCTCTGATTGATATATAATCCGCGTAAAATTGTTATGCCAATAGCATAATTATGCTGAATTGCAATTTAGGAAAATTTAAAATGATCAAAGTCAAAGAAATTCTATTTTTTATTAGCTAAATCAATATTGTTTGATTTTTTTCACAATTTTAACGTGTTAATTAAAATGGTGAATCTCTAGTTTAGCAATATCCACTAACATATAAAATTATAAGAGAAATAGCACATTTACATGGCCAAAAAAATTATATGTCACTATTTCTGGATTCGCTTGCGCCAAAATAAAAACGTTGCATGCAACTATCTGACTTTTTTGTTATCGTGATAAAACGTTGACTCAACGTGTAACTAATATTTCTATATATATGTAAAAGGTTTCTACCAAGTAAATACAATAGAGATATAAAGTCTCTAAAAACGGAAGTAGAACGTCTTTTGATGGAGATTATAGAGAGTCGGAGAGACAACGTCGAGATCGGTCGGAGTAGCTCACATGGGGACGACCTCTTAGGGCTTCTCTTGAATCAGATGGATCGCAACAAGAAGAACAATCTTAATGTTCAGATGATAATGGATGAGTGTAAGACTTTTTTCTTCACCGGTCATGAGACAACCTCTCTTCTCCTTACGTGGACCCTCATGCTCCTAGCCCATAATCCCACGTGGCAAGACAAGGTCCGTCGTGAGGTCCGGGAAGTTTGTGGCCAAGACGGTGTCCCTTCCGCTGAACAACTCTCAAGTCTTACTTCGGTACGTTCTTTTTCAACTCTCAAGCTATTACATTATTACTATTTTTTGAAAATGGAAAGAGATATATAGTACTCGTGTTTCACGATTTCCATTAAAATTTACAAAAAGAAGTTTCTTTATAATTAAATAAAGATCTTAGATATCAATATATAGATATGTCAGAGCAATATTATAACACTTATAAAACCAAATTAAAAAAAAAATAAAAAATCGCTTAAAACAATTGAAACATACATGTATGTCTTATGCGGTATGCATCAGTATACACATGTCGATTAAGTTTTGACTTTGGTCGAGAATTGGGATATAATCACAATAATTTCTCTTATTTTCTTAAATGTTTTGGTTTGTAACGCCATTTTTTATGGGTGCGGGTGGGGTACTACCTTCACATAAACACGCTACAGGCAATGCCACTAAGTCGTAGTGCTCAATTAGTAACTAAATCTCAGTTAGTACATATCTGGTCAACTTTGATATGATATATCCACAATTTTTTTATTAATGTGTTTTCTCGTATATTATAATATATTTTCTCTCTGTCAACCAGATAAACAAAAATGTAAAGATGATGAATTGTTGATTAGATATAGTTCGAATTCCAATATTCATGTCAAATGTCATGTATGATAGAAAATAAATTTTAGTTATTTATTTTGGAACTTATTAGAATGAGATAAAACTTACATTAGCACTGGTTCAGCATTAAATTAGATAGATAGAGACTAGAGAGACTCATGATGAATTGGCTTTCCACCTTTAAAATTGAACTAAGGAGTAAGGAATATTTAAATAATCGGTAAATAAAATATGCCACTTGTTTAAAAGATTAGCACTACAACATTCGTGGCATAAAATACTGCCCAAAATAAAAACAAAAACCCATTCATTAACTAATGATTCGATTTTGACAGCTTGAAAGAAACACGTACAATTCTTAAAACTAAGTAAAAGATTTTTGAGAAAGAGTCATAAGGCACTTCACAAGATTGCTAGATATGATTCTTAATATAAGGTTATATAATAAAATATTCAACTAACTTATCTTTCTTTCTTTTTTCTTATTTAAACAGTTAAACAAAGTGATAAACGAGTCATTAAGACTTTACCCTCCTGCCACTCTTCTACCAAGAATGGCATTTGAAGATATAAAACTAGGCGACCTAATCATCCCTAAAGGTTTATCCATATGGATCCCTGTCCTTGCGATCCATCATAGTAAAGAATTATGGGGCGAAGATGCGAATGAATTCAACCCTGAGCGCTTTACAACTAGAAGTTTTGCGTCTAGTCGCCATTTCATGCCTTTTGCAGCCGGTCCTAGGAACTGCATTGGCCAGACTTTTGCGATGATGGAGGCAAAGATAATATTAGCAATGCTTGTTTCTAAATTCAGTTTCACAATATCAGAGAATTATAGACATGCTCCTATAGTTGTTCTTACTATAAAACCGAAGTATGGAGTTCAATTAATTTTGAAGCCACTGGATTCCTGAAGGGAGGCTTGTTTAGTTAAGCTTCCTGAATCCTGAAAGAGTACAAATTTTTGAGAGATATGAGGGATTTGTAATTGAAACGATTTTGGAATGAGTTGGGTTCAATTTTAATATAAATTGGCGACAAATTTTGTGTTGTATTTGTATCTGTAATTTTATATAAATACGTATTTATCTATTTTCTTTTTTTAATAACTAATGTAGATTTTAAACCGAAATTCATACTAATCACCGATATTTATATATGGAAAATTGGACCTTTTTTTTCATTTACGGTACCTACAGTAATCAAGAGAGAACCACATCATTTCCATAGATGGTTGAACTCTATCCCTAACGTTCACTTAAGACAAGTCCTATACCCATTTCAAAAGACCACTAGAGTTCTTATTCATGTCCGAATTTTGAGAAATACTATTTACTCATTTGCTAATAGAGCTTACAAAATTGTCAGTTACCTAAATATTTATTATTTTAATAGTACTATTATTTCAAATCAAGTCTATAAAATATATTTTCATAGATTCATTAAAACACAACTGGCCTTGCTCTTGTTTTTTCGACTATTGGGTAAAAAAGTGAATTTTGAATAAAATACTATAGAAACTAATAATTATATGGTAAAATGGGTTCTATCTGATAAGCTTTTAAATAATAAATAAAACATGTTGTAGAATAAATCATAGGAATGATAAGTGATGGGGGTAACTAGTTGATCTTTTTCGTTTTTATTTATTTTGTTTTGGTTTTAGGTCAGCACTTATAATGACTAAACTACTTGATTTTTGCGTCTTATCTTCTATTATTTTAAGTGACTGAATCGATAATGCACCATTGTTCCATAACGGAGAAAAATTGCCAGCTTGTAAGATATATATATAAATATATATATATAATATATATATTTTGTCAACCAAGTTGTAAGTCTCTATATATGTCCATTACTCATTTATTGATTTTCTTATTGATTGTTTTTATTTTATCAAAAAGATCAGCGTATATGTTTATCACCAAATGAAGTTCTTAAATAGTCCAATTTGTATATCTGAAACCTTTCATTTGGAGCGAAATTTTGTATGCCGAATCTAAAGTACTATTACATGACAATTTGTTAGCTACCGAGATTATAATTTAGAAGTGAGTGTTTAAGAAAATTATGACGATAGCATAAGTTCAAAGCTCAATTGCAGGACAATTCGTTAACTTCGAGACTGTAGAGTGTAGACCTAAGGAACATAATCTATTATAGCTACCTCGAAAAAGTCTATCTATCGAGTTTACCGTCACACCCACAATACAAAATGCGACACTATTTACAATCTAATGTTGATGTGTGGTGGTGGAGCTGTGCTGGAATTTGTATGAAATGTACACAATTTTTTCCTTTTCAAATGATCATTGTCGTCTACATGGTAAATGACTAAAATTTAACTTTTGCAATTGTGTACATGGGGTCACCTTTTTGGCGCTGCATGTGATCTATCCTTTCAGTAATGATTAGACGCAAAATCTTCTTTCTATTTTAAATTAGTTTTATTATTTGAAGATAAGATATTAAGGGGGTATTATTCAATCAGATTTTTTAATAGAATTGAAATTCAACCATAATCCATTGTTATTCAACTAATGATTCTAAATGATGTTTGAAAATCCAATGTTATTGAATTTTTTCATTGTAAATCATGTTGAGGAGATTTTAAAGTTTAATGTTATTCAATGAAGATTTTAAATCTTTTACAAAAATCTAATGTTATTCAAAACTAAATGACTTTTAAAATCTTTGTATATTAAGTCATTTCAAATCAGTTCTAATAAATTTTTATGAGTAAATTATTAGAATCAAAATCCAATGTATATTGCAGAGATTTTAAAATCTAAACAAATGAATCCATAAAACTGATATCAAATTTTAAATCTAAAAGATTATAAAACCTAGAAAACTCATTTTAAATTCATGATTGAATAACACACCCTAAATGATTTAAAGAAAGGATGTGTACATTTTTGCTTAAAACTCTCTCCCGTAGGTAGAGGTTTTGGCCTGTCCAATCACAGTGGAGTAAACTTTCGGAAGGATGATTTCCTTGCCGCCTCCCAAGATTTTTTGGAATATTTCCAATTCTCCTTTCAAAATCTTTTCCGGTATCCTCGAAATTTCCAATATTTTGTGAAATCTTCAAAGTATATTTCTGTTTTTCTAGGGTTTTTATCAGCGCCGTCGCAAGTTACCCCTAAACATAGCAGCAAATCAGTAAGGTTGTGGAAAAAAAAAACTTCTTTTCTTGCTGCTAATGGACGGAATTCTTAACGACGCCATGAGTTCGATGAAGCTAGATGATGATGCTCCGATTGATCTACCGGATGAAGACGACTACAGCGCTATTGAAAGAAGCGGCAAAAGTTTGATCGGAAGACTCTTAAACCCAGAATGTCAAAACATGGCTCGGATGCTTCGTTCCATGCCCAGGATTTGGAAGATTTATGACAGAGTCAAGGGCATAGCGTTGACGAGAGAGAGTTTCCAATTCATATTCGACCTGGAATCTGACATCCAAACTGTGATGAAACATGGCATGTGGGACTTTGATGACTGGGGAGTGGTAATGGAAAGATGGATTGAGCAGCCGCCTGATAATTTCCTGAAAACAGCCCCGGTGTGGATCAGGATTTACAAGATCCCGGTCAATCACTTCACTCTCAAAACAATTGAAGCGATCGCAGACCGGATTGGACAAGTCAAGGTTATTGAATATGACCCAGAAAAATCTGTTCTCCAGGAGTTTGTCAGAGCTCAGGTAATCATTGACTTGGAACAACCCATTAGAGAGACCAAATCTCTCAATTTGCCAAGAGGCGGAGTCGCAGTGGTAGAGATCAAGTATGAGAGACTGGCGAAAAAATGTTTTCACTGCTTACGCCTAACACATGAAAAACAGCGTTGTCCTCTTCTCCAAAAACAACAAAAGAGTGTCAAGGTTATAGACCCAAGGCGCGTAAACCCTGTCTCAAGTGAAACACCTATACGTCAACACCACATCAACCTGGTTGAGAAAATAATGCCGATGTTGGCCCCTTCGGTTCCTCCAGGTTTCAAACCATTGCCATCTGTGGTCGCACCTGAAGTTTTTGAGCAGATACAATTATATATGAGTTCAGGGGACCCAGCTGAGCGTAACCTCCGTGAACTATGCATGAAACAGACTCTGGAAGCGCTATCCAGAGATCCAGTCGCTCAACGATCATATTTACGGTTGGAGCCCCCTCCAACAATTGTGGCAATCTCCACTGATAATGAGGAAGTAGTACCTCCGATGACTCACACATTCCAAACTCGCCACTCGGGTATCAATAGGACAGCAGAGATGCCTATTGGAGAGGACACGGACATTCCGTTAGTGAACGCAGTTGGGTCAGCTCCCACGGATAAGGCCTTACCAGCCTCATCAATACCTGCACATTCAGTCTCTCACCAACCAAAAAAGGCTGAGGAAGAGGCGGCAGCAAGAGAAGGGTCAGGCTATTTTACTCCTCCGGATAATGCTAATGGTTTCAGCATTGGGGCATCCTCAGACAGTCTCTCCGGTAATAGTAACAAGAGTATCCGTGCTGCGAGAAAGAAACCTACTTGGTCTCGTAAGCCAAGCAGAAACAAGGCTACCTCTATACAGTCCCCTACTCCTCCTGCAGTAGAGGAACTGCCAGTGAGTGATCCACCGAGTAAACGCAAGGCGACCGTGGACGCTACCCCGGCATCAAAAGTTTCCAAAATCTCTGAAGGTTTGATGGTTTTCCAGAAACCATCCATTTCCCAATGACGACACTCAGTTGGAACTGTCGGGATTTGAGGAGCATCTCGACAGTTCGACGCCTAGAGGAAATGTGTCATGAACATTTCCCGGCTTTTCTGTTTCTCCTAGAGACTAAAAACTCTAGTGATTATGTGTTTGGCTTGAGGAGATCGTTGGGTTACGACCACATTTATCTGGTAAACCCAGTGGGTCTCAGTGGAGGGCTAGCTTTATTTTGGAGGAATTCACATCAGGTGGATGTTTTATACTCCGATAACAGATTGATAGATGTGAAGATTACTACGGGGTCTCTGATATATTATATGTCGTTCGTGTATGGGAACCCGGAACGTCAACGACGGCAGATAGTGTGGAATAAACTGATAAATATCGGTGTTCAGAGAGATGAGGCTTGGTTCATCACCGGGGACTTTAATGAAATCAGGAACAATGACGAAAAAAGTGGTGGACCATTGCGAGTGGAGTCCTCCTTCTTCCCGTTTAGATCATGTATCCGCGATTGCCAAATACAAGAGCTGCCAAGCTCTGGTAACCGCATGTCTTGGGCTGGAGCCCGCGAAGTTCTCGATTCCAGAGGGTTTAAACAGAAGGTTTGGATACAGTGCAGGCTTGATAGAGCTTTCGGAAATGCAGAGTGGTTTAGGCTATTCCCAAGAACTCATTGTCAATACCTGAAACGAATTGCCTCTGATCATAGACCTCTCATATCATGGTTGGTGCAGGAGCAGAGGAAACCTGTGGGTAGATTCCGTTTTGACAAAAGATGGAGCGAGAATCCTGAAGTAAGAGAAGCCGTGTGCAGGGGTTGGAATAACGGAGTTGGTTCGAGGCCGCAGAAGGTGTCAGACAGGATTCAGGAATGCAGAAAAGAGATATCGAAATGGAAAAGGTTATCGGCACATAACTCCAAGAAACAGATACAGAGGCTTCAAAATGAACTGGAGTTGGAATCGTCTAAGTTATCGCCTTGTTTCACAAAAATGGCAGAGCTGAAGATGGCATTGACTAAATCCCTAAATGATGAGGAGATTTACTGGCGTCAAAAGAGTAAGGAGAAGTGGCTGCGTCATGGCGACAAAAACACGAAGATTTTTCATGGGAGTGTTAAAGCTCGACGGATGAGGAACCAGATCATTTCCCTTAAAGATGGAACAGGTGTGGAACGTTTTTCGGAGGAGGAAAAAGGGAATATTGCGATACAATATTTCCAAGACCTATTTCGTTCTACAAGACAAGGGAATTCTCAGGAGCTGCTAGAGGGCTTTATCGCAAAGGTCACTCCTGCAATGAATCAAGATCTGGTTAGGACAGTATCTGCATCAGAAATCAAACGAGCAGTTAAGAGCATCAGAGGAGAAAGTGCGCCTGGTTCAGATGGCATGACGGGGAGCTTTTTTCAAAGCTTTTGGAACATTACCGGAGAGCAAGTCATAATAGAGGTTAAGAAGTTTTTTGAGAGTGGAAGCTTACCGGAGGATTGGAATTTCACCCAAATCTGTCTTCTCCCTAAAAAACCATCTCCAACTGGAATGACGGACTTGAGGCCAATTAGCTTGTGCTCTGTAACATATAAGATTGTGTCAAAAATCTTATGTAACAGACTCAAGAAATTCCTCCCACAGTTGGTTTCCCCGACACAAGGGGCTTTCGTCGCTGGACGACTGATTTCGGATAACTTGCTGCTTGCTCACGAGATGATACATGGACTTCGCACAAACCCAGGTTGCAGAGGAGAGTATATTGCCATAAAGACCGATATGTCAAAGGCGTACGATCGGGTCGAATGGGACTTTCTGGAGGAACTTTTGGCCGTATGGGGTTTGATGATAAGTGGATCAGATGGATTATGAGCTGTATCCGGTCTGTGTCCTACACAGTTTTGCTTAATGGACAAGCGTATGGACACTTTTATCCTGAACGAGGAATTAGGCAAGGTGATCCATTATCTCCTTTCCTATTCATATTATGTGCAGAAGCTCTTGTCCATGTGATGAATAAGGCAGAAAGGGATGGAAAGATCTCGGGGATGAAGTTATCCAAACACTGCCCTGCAATACAGCATTTATTGTTCGCCGATGATAGTCTCTTCCTCTGCAAAGCGACTTTATCGGAATGCTCGGAATTTCTCAAATGTCTGCGCCTGTATGGGGATGCTTCGGGGCAAGTAATCAATTTCGCTAAATCAGCGATCACTTATGGCTCCGATGTAGATTTGATTACACGACGCCTGATCGCTGCACGTCTAGGTATTGATCAAATCGGGGGGGGAAGGAACTTATCTCGGACTTCCGGAGTGTCTGAGTGGCTCTAAACGGAAACTCTTAGCTTTCATCAATGAGAAACTTAGTAAACGCCTTAGTGGATGGTATGCGAAAACTCTATCATTGGGTGGTAAGGAAATCCTCATTAAATCCATTGCGATGGCGTTACCAGTTTATGCAATGTCATGTTTCCGTCTTACCAAAGATCAATGCCGCAAACTTACAACTGCGATAACGGATTTCTGGTGGAATGCTTGTGAGAAGAAAAGGAATATCCATTGGGTGGCTTGGAAAGATATGTGCAAAGCTAAATCGATGGGAGGCTTAGGGTTCAGAGATATTGAGGTGTTCAATCAATGCCTGTTGGCGAAGCAAGCCTGGCGTATCTTAAATGAACCGAATTCTCTCCTTGCCAAAGTCTATAAAGGGCGGTATTTCAGTAATACAGGTTTTCTGGATTGTGGAAAGGGTTATCGGCCATCTTATGCTTGGCGCAGCATATTACATGGAAGAGAGCTACTGGCTCGAGGACTAATCAAATCAATTGGAAATGGCGCAAGTACCAGAGTGTGGCTCGATAAATGGGTAATGGACGACGATCCTCGAAGACCGGTTAACAAAGAATTGTTTTACGACCTGAATCTCAAGGTATCTGATCTGATCGCGAACTCTGGTAGATGGAATACGACTCAGTTACAGGCACTTTTCCCTCCAGCGGACGTTGTGAGAATTTTGGCTCTGCCCCTGGGAAACACAGAAGATAAATTCGTTTGGGCGTATACGAAACACGGATCTTATACGGTCCGCAGTGGAGCGCAGTTTGTAGCTTCCCACCGTCACATCCCCGCTGGTGTACCATCTTTTCAGGATGCGGACAACATTAATGTCAAGAATCGTATCTGGAAGATTCATACGACACCAAAGATTAAGGTTTTTCTCTGGCGAGCCTTATCAGGGGCACTAGCGGTTGCACAAGGTCTGAAAAAAAGGGGATGTGCAGCTGATGATACCTGCAGAATTTGTCAGCACGGCGTTGAATCCATCAGTCATGTATTATTCCATTGTGAGGCCGCGAAACAGATTTTAGATACAGCTGGAATTCCGGCACCGCCTCAAGGGTTTGTGGATTCTGTTACGGAAAATATGGAACACATCCTTAATTTGATAGAAGACCAGTCTTTGAACGTGTTTCTACGACAGTCTATTCCGTGGCTGCTATGGAACATATGGAAGAACCGGAATGCAACTCTTTTCTCACGGAGTGTTGAAGCTGCTTTCGTTGTCTGTCAACGCTCGTCAGAAGAAGCCATACTCTGGCATTCGGTTAACAACCCTAATCACGGAAAGGATGGCAATACAGCTAGAAACAGCAACGCGACCGACAGATGGCACCCTCCTCTGACTGGTCTCATCAAATGCAATATTAATGCAAACTGGCGTAACTCTCTCTTACACAGTGGAGGGGCATGGATCGCAAGGAACCACACAGGAAGTGTTCTCTTTCATGCTCGGGAAGCGTTTACCCCTTCTCCTAATCGACTTATTGCCGAGTTTAGGGTCATAATTTGGGCTCTTCAGAGCGCAAAGGATCTTCATTTCACGGACATCATCATAGCATCGGATCTGATAGGAGCTGTGGAGGCTATCCAAAAACCATCAGTGTGGCCAAAGTTCAGAGTTTATAGCGACCACATCAATGTTCTCAAATCTCAATTCAACCGATGTGAGTTTGAAATAGAGGCGCCGGTATCGATCTCAGTAGCTCGAGCAATCGCCAAGAGTGTTACAAAAGATGGCCGATATCACTCCTACCTCGCCATGGGAGGACCCTCGTGGTTACAGGACCAGCTGAATCAGGAGGCTCGTTATAACATCTAGCAATCCTTCCATTTAGGATTTGATGTTTGATTTCCGAGTCGCATTGTAACCTTTATTTTTGCAATCTCTATCAATTAATAAAGGATTTCTTGACGACAAAAAAAAAAGATATTAAATTGAAACCACATAATTAAACGGATCCGTAGAAACAAAAAAATATTTAAAACCGCGGAAGCAAATATGAAGCGGGTACATGATGAATATGTTAACGTAAATTTGTTTAACTATAATCCAATACATAAAAGAAAAATATTCTATATAGAACACAAAAGACTTAAATAGCAAAAAAGGAATTGAATTAAATTTTTAAATTCTATTGAACACCATAATTCGCATGTTCATTAGAATATAATTAAACAGTAACAACGAAATAATTTTTTTTTTGTTAAACAACGAAATAAATATTGAAAAATACTTTATCTTGCATGTTATTTATCCCACTTGTGTTCGTTATTTTTAATAAGAAGAGGTAATTAGATAAAGTATCTCAATAATTGAGTTACTGATAGAGTTTTGTTTGAGTTTTGAAAAAGTAAGTTCATGTTTTCTATTTATTTACGTTGTAATGCTTCCAAAACGAACACAAGCTAATGTCGCGTTTCAACAATGATATTTAATTTCAACCCGTAAATTGATGATTTGCCACCAAATAGAAAGTATATGACTGATTGAATTGTTGTCACACTGGAATGATTTTAGCTCTCATGCGGCTGATGTCATTCCACCTAGTAGCCCACAGAGTGAGTCTACGCTTATACTGTTTACATTTACCACTTAGTCATTCTTGCAACAAAAGAATATCCAACTCATAATTTGGAGTTATCTGATGTCAAAACAATAGTCACATTTAATATTCTAATAACATGT